GCAGGCACAGCACTCGCCGTGCACACCCAGCACACACCGGGCACACCCAGCATGTGCCATGCACATATAACACACACCAGGCACACCCAGCACCACACACAGACTGTCACGTGCAGCAGCACACCTGTGTCGCCACACGGCACACGTGCACACTAGGTACAGAATGCCCCACCTATGCACACGCCACCCCCTGTGCACAGCACACACAGCCCGTGCACAGCAGGCCACACACAGATTTTAATAATTGCCAGCGTCCACTTCATGTCCACACACAGCTGCTGCCCCCTGGAGCCCGACCCAGGTCCTCTTGTCCCTCTCTCCTAACAGAAGACTGTTGCTGCCACTCGTGTGGCCCAGAGCTGGTCAGGCACTGGCCACGGTCCATGCAGCAGAGGATCTTGCCCTGGCTGACCAGTGACCTCCCTCCTCAGTGGCCCCTCCTCAGCCCACCCCAGGCAATCGGGCTGTGGCCACTGCATCGTGGACACTCGTCTCATCCTTGCAACTTCTGGTGGACACAGGAGGCTGCTCTACAGAAGGTCCTGCAGGGTGGACGTGCCGACGGCGTCCTGGGTGGCCCGCTGCAGCCCCGCTCCCTGCCGGCCAGGAGCTAACGCAGGAGCAGGCTCAGGCTGGTCACATGGCGTGAGATGCTGACACCTCGGAGACCCCCAGGCTGGCCGTCACTGCTGCCCCTCCCCAGCCCTGCCACTGCTCTGCGGGTCTGTGGACGCTGCAGCCCAGCCTCCCGGCTCTGTCCTGTGCTGCGCGCATACTGGCCCCCTCTGGAGACCTGCAGGGCAGGAGAGGACGAGGTGGACCTCGAGCAGACCTGGGCAGAGCTGCTCTCTGCTGTCCCCAGACCTGCTCTCTGCTGTCCCCAGACCTGCCCACGTCCCAGAGAGCAGGCATCAGCCACACGTGGGAAGACGTGCCCAGCTCCCGATGCCCGGCATCTCCCGGGGCCCGCTCACAGGAACCTCCTGTCACACCCCAGCTGGACCCCAACCATGGGGGCCGTCACCTCCCACCCCATGCAATGCAGCTGGGGCAGCTGTGGACTGCAGCTGGGGCACCACACTGTCCCCCCACCCCGTGGACCGCAGCTGGGACACCACACTGTCCCCCCACCCCGTGGACTGCAGCTG